GGGTTGTGGGGGGCTGGAGGGCTGGGGAAGGCGGTTGATGGCATGTTTCTGGGGCGGTTTGCGCATGAGATTGATGGTGTCAAAAAGGTGGTGCAGGAGGTGGAGGAGACGTTGCGAGAGCAATAGTGAACTCACTGCGTGTCTAGAACTTTTGATGTGAAGATCTGAAGGATGATCATTATGATCGTTGACAATGCTGGCTATTTACAATAATTGAACGCTATATCCACTCTCCAGTCTATTGACGGTTTTGCTTTCCCTCTCGCAATTCCTGCTTCACTCGAGTGACTGTGCCGATTCCACCATACGTCACAGCTGTGTACATCATCGCGACAGAGGCTCCCGCATCCAGCACAGCCTGCGCCTGCTTGCCGTTGGTGATACCTCCAGAGGCAAAGATCACCTTGCGCGCCGGCCGATTGGTCGGAGTAGGCGGCTCGACTGCGGGCACGTTCTCCACGTCAGGCTCAACTCGCGTCACGGCCGCTGCCAGTTCCTTGGCTTGGTCGGTCTCATTCGCATCGGACGCCGGAGCGGGTGGTGCATCCAGCAGCGCCCGGTAGCGGGCCACCAGGGCAGCGGTGCGGTCGAACAGCTGCGGCCCTGAGTAGCCTCCCGTCTCCTTCAGCGTGGACTGTTCCTTGGGCGGAAGAGTGAAACCCTGCGGCAGCGGGGAAGGCCGGCGGTTGGTCGTGTTGCCCACGATAACGCCGTCCACGCCCGAATGCCATACGGCGTCGCAGATGCCGGAGACCTGCTCGTCCGAGTCCTCGTCCGGGCTGACCTTGACCATCACATAAGGCTTGGTCTTGCGGTCGACGCCCTTGGCGGCGCTCACTACGGCCTTGAGGATGGCGGTCAGCGGTGCGGTGGCTTGCAGGTCGCGCAGTCCAGGCGTGTTGGGGCTGGAGACGTTCACAACCAGGATATCGGCGTACTTGGCCAGGCGGTCAACGCAGTAGACATAGTCGCGCTTGATGGCCTCGATGTCCGAGTCGGGCGTCGCCTTGTTCTTTGCAATCTGCACGGCCAGCAGCCGTCCGGGCTGAAGACTGCCGGGGGGGACGCCAGCCTCACCGTCGAGGACCCGCTGCTCCGCTTCATCGTGCAGGCCGAACCCGTTGGCATAGGCGAAATCCCGCACGCGTTTCTCTAGGATGGCCGCCATGTGGTCGGCGCCCAGCGAGTTCAGGCCGTATCGGTTGATCATGGCTTTCTGAGACGGCACTCGGAACACGCGAGGTCGGGGATTGCCCTCCTGCGGCAGGGGAGTCGTGCCGCCAACTTCAACGATCGCGGGGCCAATAGCGAACAATGGGTCGGGAATCTCAGCATGCTTGTCAAGCCCGCCCGAGATGCCAATGGGGTTGTTGAGCGTATACCCGAAGACCTGCAAAAGCAAATCCGGCTAAGCAATAAACACTTATAGATGTCAGGGCTGTATTACCTCAGTAGCCAACACACCGTCACCGTCCTGGTTGCCGCGTTCCCGCGGATGAAGTCCATACTTGTAGAGCGTCTTCAGAGCTTCCACACCAATATGATGCGCCTCTTCCGCGTCGGGATAAAGCATCCGAACAAGAGGAACCACAGCGTAGCGGTGGATGCTTGCTCTGGTATCCGTCGCATACACATAACCCACCAACGCAGCAAGTACCAACGATGTTCCGTACACCGTTCTCTTCATGCCGCGGCCAGCCTTCTTGGGGGCCTCCTTTACGGCCTCAGCTGCCTCGCTAGTCGTGCCTGAGGCATGGCGCACGGCACCTTGTTGCTGGAAAGCGGCCTGTCTATGAAGGATTGAGGACCGATGGGAGCATCGCAATGACGGCACGGCGCGGGCCCTCAAACCGGCCGATCTCCAGGCGAAACTGGTTGAATTGGCAACCATGTCGACTCTGGCTGACCAGGGGGTGCTTGATCAGCCCAATTGAGTAGTCCTACAGGCCAGTCAGAGATATGATATCGTTGAAGCCCAACACATAGTAGACCCGTTTCAAGGGCGATTGGACCGTAAGCTCGGAGCCCTCACTAATTCATCCGGTAACAAAAATATCACCAACTCACCTTCAGGTAACAAAATCAGAGCCCAATTCAACAGTACACCCGTAGTATTAAATGAAAAGCAGCGGTCGATTCCCCGCGCGATTAAACCAGCCAGTTCTCGCAATTCGGTGGACGCTTTTTCTTCTGTTCCTCTTGCGTCAACGGATGCAGCGGGCGGTCAGGGATATTCCCGGCATAATGCTTCACCATCTCCGAGCGGTGTGCGGCATTCACAGCTATGGAGGTAAAGGAATTCAAGATAGCCGCAGCTTTACAAAAGTAATCAGTTCATAGATGTAATTGCCAGAATATCTACTCGACTCCAATTTCATTCACGCCTTTTGAACGCCAGTAATCCTGCTGCTTCAACATCGATGACGAACCAACCACTGCTAAGTAGCGTCAGCCTGAAGCTAAGTCTGCGTAAGAATACATCGAAATTAGAGAGTTAAAGGCCCAAAGCCCTCAGATATCTTCAAGGTATGCCGTATGGAATGGGTATGGAAATGTTGAAATGTTACAACGATGGGAAACAATGCTCCGCTTGGCCAAGAGCATAGGCCGCAAAATCGACCAAAAATAATGGTCTATTCGTCGCTCATCCTGTCTTCTTCGTCGCTCACATCTGCAGCGGTTGGCTGGTGATTGCGATCTTCAGCCGCCTCTTCTCCTCGGTCAGAGTCGCGGGTCTCAGGATGTTCCTGCTCAGGAGCAGGTTCAGGTTCGGGAGGCGGGGGGAGAGATTTTGCAAATTTCGGATCAATGGCCGCTCTATGTAGAGAGCGTTTGTATACCTCTGCCTCATCTGGATCGCGGACAACAACCTGAATTTGGTCTACCTGGTCCTCCTTTGTCTTGGGCCGCGTGGGAGCAAGACCCGCCTGCGCAATGGTACGCGCCCGCTCGGGCTTCAGACGGGTCTTTCCGAGGATAGGATAGTAGTATGCACCTCTCTGTTTTGTCTGCTGTCCTTCCTTCGCCTCCGCTGGATCGAAAAGGGTCAGAGCGACATCGCGCTGCTTCGAGTCATTGCCGAGGGTCTGAGCACTAGTGGCGTATGTGCGCATGCGTTCGTAACGATGGAACCTCGTCCCATCCGTTCCTTCATGAGTGTACAAAACTTCACTGTCGCGATCGGGGTTCGAAAGCCGTAGGCTCGCAATGACTTCCTTGGCCGCGTCCTTCTTCTCCGGCAAGAAGAGATCGTAATCCCACGGTATCGGACCGGGATCAGGGTACAATTCGGGATTCGACTTGTGTAAAGCGGCTTTGGTCGCATGCTCCTGACAGACTCGCTCTTCTGGTGCGGAAGGAAGAAGAATGGCCACGTCCATGCGCTCGTCCCGTTTCCCTGAAACACCCTGAACAGGCGCTTTGTCGAACTTGAACTGAACGAATCCTCCGGGGTCCGGGAATCCTTGTAGATCGGGGAGCAGAGGGTAGAACCCAACCGGCTTGAGCTTCGGATTGTCAGGATGAACGGGGTGAGCCCAAGCGTCGACCTCAGTTTTGGTAGGAGTGTGGCCCTTGATTCTGCTCGGTGTATCCTCCCCAACATGTCTGCTATCCGGATAAGCAATATCGAAGCCTTTTTGAATGTATTTTTTGATGTACATGGGATCATCCTGAGATTTTGCTTTGTCGGCGGAACGGGCCTTTGCTCTGATAGGTGTGACCTTGGGACCGTCGGGTGCGCGGAGACCGGCAGAGATATATTGCGTCCGACGAAGGAAACTGACGTTCGCGTTCTTGGGGGCGGGGTTCTTGAGCTGGTCTAAAGTCATAAGCAGCGGAAGGTCGGCGGGATCAATCGGTTGCGGGGTTTCGGGTGCCATAATAGCTGCGTAGAGTTAGATACTGAGGGATACGCGACAAAAAGCAAGTGGCACTTCGGCTTACCACTCTCGTCGCCCAAATGCAGCCCCGGAATACCGACAAGGTCTATCGGCATACCACCCTCGGCATCAACATCGATATTGGGCTCCTCACGTCGCGCCAAGTTAGAGGCGAAACCAGGCGTTAGGAATCTCTGCAGACCCTCATGCGGGATATCGAGGAACTTGGGTGGCATATCCGGCGGAGGCAGATCATTCCGATAACGTAAAGACGCGATGTACTCCTGATGAAAACTCCCAGAGGAGCCGCTGTCCTTGGATTTCGACATCTCGGCCGCAATTCCAGTATTCGAGTCTGACGAGCGCGTATCAGTAAGAGGGGGACTGTCGACTGCACAGTAATGTCAGCAAGGAGAGTCTTGAACTGCGCCAGCTGGTGCGCCGAACTTACATTGGCTGGGAAGCGCAATCGACGGGATTTCAGAGTCAGGAACCAGAGAAAGATCTGGGCCTCCGTTGCTGGTATTAAGCGGCGCGAGAACTATACAGGAGCGCTCAGATTGATAAGTGTAAGGGAGCTGAACTATCTCTGGGAATGCTGAATTATGATGGACTCACTTGGGGTAGGATAAACCATTCTGCATATATTTACCGCCTGATGTTTATAGCTTAGCGGGTTGGTGCTTTGAGGGGCGGAGAAAGGTTAAGCCGTATTTTGTTTTTTGTTTAATATTTCCACCATCTCCAGCACAGCACCGTCATGTGATGTAACGCATTATTTGTTTAGACTCCAGGTCAGTGAATAGTCAGACACTTAAAACTATCACATGGTCCCATTGGGTCAATATTGAATTTCTCTGATAAGCTAGGTACCCGTAATTGTTCTGAAATAGTCCCCGTAGTGTCGTCCATAACCCAACTCCGTCATCCGTAGGATACAAGGAAAGTGAAGAGAAAGCAGCATTAAGAAAACAAGAGCTAGTAAGCCCACATGCACTTGTACGCCATCAGTCGGTGACCCAGTCTATCATATTCCAATTGCCCGATCCAGCTGTCATTGGTTCCGCTGAGCTTACCGAACACGCTTGCGCCCTTCCAGACTACCACTTGGGGGTCGAGGTCTCTTGGGGGCGTACCGACCATGATTTCGCTAGCAAACCCTGGTCTCAGCGTCTGGAGACGCTCTTCTAGGAAAGAGTGGAAGCCGTTAACAAGACTGCCGCCCCCTACGACCATGATTCCTCCGAGAAAGTCTCGCATCTTACGCTCATCAGATCGAGCTGCATGCGAAATAGAGGTGAGGATTGCATTATCCAACGGGAAGACTGGAAGAACGTCATCTCGCTCCTCGACAGTAGGTGCTCGAGGCTGTGAGGCACTCTGTCCCTGGCCACCCGGGAGTGGGGTACCAGCACCACCAGCTTGGGGAGTACCAATCGCTTCCGGAGCAGGCGACCCCGCAACAGAAGATCGGGGGGTGGCATCCAGCTCCTGGACACGGCTGAGTGCATTCACTTGGTGCGAGCGACTCGGAGTCGACTGCACATCCAACGTGAATGATTGGGATTCACCATTCACTTGGCCATTGGCAGGAGGAGGGGCAATGGTAGTCAAGATTTCAGATTGGGCCCCCGATGTTGGATCATTCGGCTGAGCGTCGTAGATATCCACCGACCGCGTGATGAATTTTCTTCTTCCTTCGAGTTTCCGTGAGTGGTCGAATATCGAGGGCTGGAAGTACCCCATTGGGGCGAGATGTACTTCATCGTACGCTTTGAAGGAATACTTCCGCGTGTCCTGACCGGCAATGCGAAGGTGAAAATCGAACACTTGCACTGAGACACTTGCTTCGTTCAAGGTGCAGACATTCTTTTTCAGCTCCTCGGCTAGTAAAAAGTCGTAGCGGCGCCATAGATTGATTTCTGCATATGGGAAGTGGTCGAAGAGCATCATCTTGATGAATGCCTCGGTCACATCGGCTCCACCAAACTTCAGGTTGACGCGAGAGTTCTCAATACACATTCCCTCCTCCACGCAACAGATGGATGTCTTTTGCGCGCCAATGTCGACGACGCATGCTGATGTGAATCCCGCACCGAAGGTGGCCGCTAAACTCTCCTGGATGAAGCAGACGCGGGCGAATGAAAACTCCCTCATCAACATCTCGAGAACTTGGGTAACATAAGTCTTCTCATACAAGTCAGGGATAACGAAAACGCAAGAGTACTGAGGCCATTCCTTCTTGCTGGTCAAGCCCAATTGGTTTTTGATTGTGTCCTCGAGAATGAGTGAGATGTCCAAGAACAAGAGTCTCTTGCTCTCATAGTCTCTCTCGTTGCACCATCCGTATCGCATCGGCCAGTAGAGCTTGTACCTGGGTTTCGAGTCGTCAGGTATCCTAAGCGCTGCTTGCCCTACAATATATTCAGGTGCATCGTCGGTAATATCTGTCCATTCGACACGCAGCGGGTCATTGTGTTCTGGGATGGTCTCTGGTACCGTTCTCCGATTGTAGTTGATAACCATTTCTTTCGAGTTGGGTAGAGTCCTGCGCTTGTTTTGTCGCATATGCGCTTTGAGTTCTGCTGCCATCGTGGTATACTGCGAGGAGAACTATTTTCATGCAAGTGGTTAGAAAACGGCGAAAATAAGACTCAGGTGCTTGGGTAGAATGAACCTCCGGACCAAGCATTTTCTCAGGTTCCATCAAAGAGCCATCGTCCAATTTCAATCGCTTCGGATGGGGCTCGTCATGGTCTTCGGACTCGCTTGTGGTTGATTTTCGTGCAATTACCATAGGAACAGTCTTCGGCAGTGCGTCGCTGGCCAGGCCGATTCGCAGATTCTGGCTTCCGACATGAACTACAATAACCTTGGAGCCTAATGTTTCAGTTGTCTCCTCTCCGCCCTCCTCCATATTTGTATCCCCATCACCGTCAGCCTCTGCTTCGGGTAGGCCCAAGTCGTTCGCTTTCGCCATGGCTAAAGCGCGATCCCGGTCTTTGGCCGTTTTGGCCATTTTGTTCCTCGCCTCCTCATTTTGTAGTCGGAATGCTAGGTACTGATCGTCCCTCTTGAGATAGTCACTGTTGGAGTTGTCAAGTTAGTGATAGAACCTAGAAATGCCTTGCTTGCAGATCGAACTACGCGCAAGTCAGACATACGTGTAGTAATTCTTCTGGTTGATCGGCGCAATCTGAGGCCAATTCGACAGCTCCATATTGTTATCCGTCCTCTCAAGGCCTTGCCATCAGAAAATGTCAGTCATAACTGGTGGCCCGGCGCGGGGACTGAGGAACGAAGCGGCTCCAAGGATACTTACCCTCACCTTTGAGGGCCTTTCCAGACTTTTTGCCAACCATGGTGGCGCTTTAATGGTGAAATGACTTTTGCGAGGTACACCGCAAGATGAAGATGGAAGTCCGGTAGTGACACGGTCCGAAGCCAAAGACGCTCTTCAAGATGGACTCTTGAGTAGGCATATGAGCATTCACTGCTAGGGCTGTTTTTATGGAAAAGCTGTAGTATCGGTGTCGCACAAGGGGACAACAGCGGCTGGGAAGAGAAGCGCGTAGCGACTCTAGTGCGGAATAGGAGAGTCACCGCGCAATCCCGATCAATGGATAGTTTCAGAAGGTCATCCCCATCTCCTAAGAAGTGACGGACGACTGAGCTTGGGCCAGGCCGATCGGCGCCGCAGGGTTCATCCGCGGTCCAATGATTGCCACAAGACACACCAAGAAACTCGCGATTTAGTCAGCTATTCAAGGCTGAAAGTGATGCGCGGTTGATATCTTCTATATTTCATTATCTTCATTCTTATGAAACGAAATACTGTTGATTCTACATCGTTCCAGCAAATCCACGCTACTATCATTTCATTTTAGTCGTATATCTCATCCTGCTCCTCACGGCTAACGCTTCCGCAAACACCTCCCTCAGCCTCTCCATTGATCACGACCCCCAACTGCAGCGTCCCTTTTCAGATTCACAACAATGGGAGGCTCGCTATCACGTCTGTGGTCTTTCTTCTGGACCAAGAAGGAGATTCGAATCCTTATATTAGGTCTCGTACGTGTCCTACGTGCTCTCATGCTCTGCGCTGCATGTAATTTCCCAGGTCTAAGGCTAATTTGTTTTTATTGACTCTGTAGGACAATGCCGGAAAAACCACACTTCTCTACAGACTTAAGGTATGCTTCGGGTGCTTAATTATCTACGTATGCTCTGATTTCTGATTGTTTCGCTAACTGACATGCACTTTGATAGATCGGTGAAGTAGTCACAACAATACCTACCATCGGATTCAACGTCGAGTCGGTCACATACAGAAACCTGAATTTCAATGTCTGGGTATGTTGGATGCGCCATGGGAATAGACAGATAATTGCACTTTTATGAAATTTGCTAAGGTGCGGTTGTTTTAGGATCTGGGAGGTCAAACGTCCATTCGACCCTACTGGCGTTGCTACTACGCCAACACTGCCGCTGTTATATTCGTCATTGATTCTACGGATATTGAGCGACTTGGCACAGCTGCGGATGAACTAGCGGCTATGCTGAACGAAGAGGAGCTGCGTGATGCGGCTCTGCTGGTGTTCGCAAACAAGCAGGATCAACCCGGCGCTAAGGGTGCCGGAGAGATCTCGGAAGCTCTGAAGCTCGGGGAGCTGCGAGATAGGAACTGGAGCATCGTAGCATGCTCCGCCATTGATGGTAAAGGTCTAGATGAGGGTATGGACTGGTTGGTTGTAAGTTGCCCTCTCTGGCTGCCCGCTCGCTTCTTATCTATACTTGAATTACATGGTACTAACTTGTAACCAAGCAAACACTTCAAGCGGAGAACGCATAAGCGCTGGCGTTGTTCAATTTCTGTTATAGACCCCCGTCTGCTTCCTTCATTGCGTTCTATATACCGTCCATATGCCCCCATTCAAAGACCCGGAAATGTTGCTTTATTTATGAGTCCGAGCTTCCCCGGCTTCTTTCCGTTCTTACCGACTCTGTTATGCTGCGCGGAGTCCATGTCTTTTATACAGTACAGGTTTGGTTGCGACTTGGCAAATTTAGCATAATATCCTAATTTAACTTGGCAAGGGATCGATTGACCTTGCAAGACTTGTACTTGGCTTTCCAGAAGTTCTGACCATGCTGTTCACGGCAATCGGTAGTCCTGAATGGGCCAGGCGTGGTGTGGAGTGTCTGTTAGCCTTCGCCCTTTCGTCTTCTCACTGAAATAGCTCAGCTTTCTTGTTCACATAGCTGGTATTGTGTCGCTGACTCAGTGTCATTTTGTCAGTACAGGTCCATCAGTGATTCCCTAATCGATGGTCCAGCATCAGCGTCCCTCTAGCAGTTGACAGAAACAGCAATCTCAAATTCTTATCGATGGTTGCTCCATATCGTTGACTCGTGCACCAATCAATTCCCCGGTTTAATCGCCCGCTCTATCTAGAGCGGGCGATACTGATGATACCACTATCAGATTATCCCCGCATTTATCAACAATAAAACTATCTGATTTAGTTAAAGCGACCATAATTCAGGCAGAGATCTCAGATAGTTCTATACTTATATACGAGCTACCCTTGACCCTGGTGCGGCATTGACGGCTTTCAGTTTGCATACTTGTTAGTTGACGTACTCGGAAATCCTCTCCAGACACCATTATTGCAGTCATGGCAGTCCCTCAAACACAAATCGCAGCAGTCGTGTCTGGACCCAGAAAGTCATCAAGTGCACGGGTAGAGATTTTAAGTGAACGCCCTGTGCCTTCTCCAAAGCAAGGAGAAGTGCTCATCAAGCTCGAATATTCCGGAGTGTGCCATTCAGATGTCCATAGCATTCGTGGGGATACCCTCATGTTAACGGACGTCGCAGGTCACGAGGGAGTAGGAAAGGTAGTGCAAGGTGAGGCGCATTGAGCAGACTTGCAATCTCTAACGGTTCTGATGTACTGCCCATCTCTTAGTTGGATCTAACGTGGATGAGGAGGCTTGGATGGGCAAAAGAGTTGGTATACGGTAGGTCTTCCCCCCTGCTTCGTTCGAATTCAGACCCGAAACCTAATAAACCGCGCTTGTCCGTCGCAGATGGCTTTACAGCTCGTGCTTGAAGTGCGAAATCTGCGCTATCAATCATACGGCTTGTCCTTATCAGAAGAACGCTGGTGCAGTAGGTTTCACTGTCACGGGCTATATGAATGCGTTGTAGCTTCTTCAACCGATCTAATCCGAGGCAGAATGTTCCAGGAACCTTCCAACGTGAGTTGACCTTCGCCGCAGGATCGATGAGTATGGTTGACACTTTGATTAGAATTCATTGTCAGTCCTGCCGAACATGTCACAATCATCCCGCCCGAGCTGGACCCCGATACAGCAGCACCTCTTTTATGCGGTACGTTCGTCCAAGCCAGACAGTCCTGGAGTATGCACTAATCCTTGGATAGCGGGAATAGCCATGTACTCGTCGATCATGAAGACAAAAACCCGACCGGGGGATTGGATCGTGATTCTTGGGGCCGGTGGAGGACTTGGGCACATGTATGAACGTCTCGCACAGGTGGCGGCAGTGGCTGATTGACTTCTATCCTTAGGGGAATCCAGATCGCAGCCAAGAAGGGACTTAAGGTCATTGCGATTGACAGGTAAAGTCAGCTGTAAAATTAACAATGGCTCTACTTACTGAATCTTGACCCAGTGGGGACAAAAAGAGGGAGCTCTGTCTCTCGCTTGGGGCGACGGACTATCTTGATTATAAAAAGGAAGATGTTGATTCTAGGGTCAAGTCTGTTACTCGTGGCCTAGGCGCCCACGCGGTGATATGCACAGCGAACAGTGAGTCGGCATACGTTCAAAGCATGCAGATGCTCCGCCGTCTGGGGGTTTTAGTTTGCGTTGGTATCCCGAACAAGCCTTTTAGACTACCGTCAACCCCGTTCGACATGATTGTGAAAGGTATGTAGCGTCCCAGGTGAAGTCCAGCTCATTCGATTTGGGACGGTGCTAAGTCTCTTGGTCATCAGGTCTCACCATTGTCGGAAATTCCGCTGGTACCGCAAAGGAGATGGAAGAGCTACTAAGTATGGCTGTGGCAGGAGACGTGAAGGCTCACATTCAGTGTTTTGACTTTTCCTGTATCAATGACGTCCTACAAAGACTGGAGAGGGCTGAAATCGACGGACGAGCTGTCTTGAAAATCCCTGAATGACGATGCTAGTCAAGGACCGAGCAAAGCGTCTGCTAGCCCAAGCAAACTGTCGGTCAAGGATTGTTAGAGGGTCCTAGTTGTAGGTTAACATAGTCAACTAGCTATATAGGCCTCTTGAGGATTTAGGGCTCGCGAGATGTACTAGATGACTGTTTGTCTGATACCTCTTGATGCATTGTCAATCGAAACATTTTTATAGGACGACTCAATCTAGGAAGCCATGATCTAGAGAGGTGCATACTCCTTATGGGTAATGCTTATTATTATGTTGGTAATTTATGGCAATCGCATAGTGTTCCGGTCCTTTACAATGGCAGTAGAGTGAAATGCCGCTATACCTGAATTCTCGTCTGCCGTTGGTTCCCATCAAACCTCCACCTTTCCAATATTCCCACATGCACCTCCTCAACATTTCATTGAGCAGATTGCAATCCCTCGTCGAGATTCAAGTAATGTCTCCTGACTCCAACAGTGGCGGATCATTTTGGATAGTCGTCAATGCGACTCCGATATCGATCCATGGATGCACAAGGGACGATCAACTGGACCTTACGGAGTCCCTGATGCTGAAATGTGCCGGCGGACCGCGCTGTGATTGGCTCCGCAGGTCTCATACATTGAAGCAGCCCAGACGACCATTACCCTTCATTGTGATCGCTGATAGATCAGCTACTCTCCCCACGGGCACTCGGTCGACTGTGATTATTTACGAACCTTGACCGGAACGAGGCTCCACGTCCACCGCTTGCCCGCACATGCTGCCACTCTGCTTTCCTACTTGCCAGGGCCTTGGTGCCTCTAGCTGTTCCTACATCGTCTGGGTACCTACGTACCTTTCCCCAATTCTGTGTTGCAGTGTACTCCAGCAGATCCCCCGTACAATCATCCAATAGCGTCCTGTGAATGTTGAAGACTACCTGCACGCTACGGCCTATCAGTTGCCCCATCGAGCCGCGTTTGACTATCTTCTGGCCCAAGTCTCCAGATTGAACCACTTTCCACAACCTTCTCGCTACTGGCGATGCCACATTGCTCTGATGGACCTTAGAATCTTATCTCTCCCCTCGGGAGTCAGGACCATGTGTGGTCCTGATAGGATATGGCGACCCATGCTGCTCCGATATTGGGAGCCAACGTTTACGACCGAGGGGTC